GCGAGAGAGAGAGAGAGAGAGAGAGAGAGAGAGAGAGAGAGAGAGAGAGAGAGAGAGAGAGAGAGAGAGAGAGAGAGAGAGAGAGAGAGGGAACTGTTGAATTGTAGCCTTTGCAGACCTTTATGCATAACAACCTATATAACACACTACAGGAAAGGGAAAATCCCCAAAAGCCAATATGGCCCCTTTAATTCCATTATCCTGCCAGGGACTGCAGAGGAAAATGTGCCTCTTTGGCTAAATCTGGCACATTTACAGGATTACAGGAAGTGCTCATGTTTACTAATGTGCATTGTCCTTTCGTGAACAAATAAATAAAAATACAATTTCTTAATAAAGGTATAGAGAGTGAACTGTGGTACAGGTGTGCTCTCATGTAATTATGTTTTGATGCTTATATGTGTTTTTATTTTTGACCTAATATCTAGTTATGAATGCAGTAACCCTATCTTTGGGCAGACCTTGAACCCGCACAACCCTCTGAAGACCAGCGGAGGTTCCTCCGGCGGGGAGGGGGCTCTCATCGGGGGAGGGGGCTCCCTGCTGGGGATGGGCAGTGATATAGGGGGTAGCATCCGTTTACCCGCCTCCTTCAGTGGGATCTGTGGCTTCAAGCCAACTCCAGGTCGACTCAGGTGAGTGCCTCTGCTTCAGTAGGTTTTGGATAATCATTCATTACGTTAATATGTTTTCTTTGTTTTGTGTCTTATTCAGTTCAAAGGGTATAAGCTCCATTTATCGAGGGCAAAAATCAGGTAAGTTGTATCATCATTGCCTATATACTACATGTGTTGTCTGTAAATCATTGGTTACTGTTTCCTATGTTTCTCATTAAATTAGTGCCGTCTTGTGTTGGACCCATGGCGAGGGATGTGGACAGTCTGGCTCTGTGTATGCAGGCGCTGCTGTGTGACCACATGTTCTCTTTGGACCCCACTGTCCCACCCGTGCCTTTTAATGTGCAGGTTTGTCCACCTTAAAATAGGTTTACGTAACAGACTACTTCTTGGCTGGGACCCTTAACCTGTACAGACATGTCGTTTGCTGCTGCTATGGATTTGCTCATCTTTTCAGTGAGGGGGCACAGTATGCTTTGTGACAGTTACAATGTCAAATCAATCAGTCAAATACCCAATATCACAAATTACACATTTGGCTAAGGGGGCTTCACAGTGTGTACAACATATGACACAGTATGTCCTTAGACCCTCAGTATGAATTGCAATTAATGTGGGGAAAACTTGGGGAGAGCAATAGAGGAGGATCACTCTCCCAGGGCAATAGATAGTGGGTGTTTCTCAATGCAAGTTAAGCTGCTCCAGAGCCACTATTTCAAGCATACTACAGTACATCGAGTGCTGCCGAAGTACTGTTCCAATCTCCAGCATACTTGGAATTCTACCGAGCCCGGTGTGCTTCAATTGGAGAAATTTCGAGTCTGCACATGTGTAGACTCCGCGGTCTTAAAATCCCCACAATGACTCGGACCAATTTCCCCAAATCTGTGGCGGAAAATGTAAGGCGGGGCTCTCATATGACGCACACCTGCACACTTGCTAGCGTGTTCCATTCCTTGTTCTCCGAGGCTAGGAAGTATTCTTGCCTCGCTTCTGAAGCAAGACGCCCGGAAGACATGTGCTACCAAGCAAGCGTACTCGAGATTGAGAAACACCCAGTGTGTGTCTAGATAAAACAAGATAATACATTTACAAGATAGACAGACAGTCAAAAATGATTTTGTGAATGTATATTTAAAAAAAATAGAGCCAGTTGGATGTCATCAATCTTCCAGTTGCTGCCAAAAACAATAAAGAACTGGGTGTGAGGCAGAGCGATGGCCACAATAATATAGTTAATGTTTAAAACCCGGCCTATATAAGCACACCTTTGAACATTATATTTTAATTATGCCACAGATAAGGCTTGCAAAAGAATTAACAAGCAGCAAACCGTTTTTTCACAATGTTGGCCTCAGGGTGAGGTCGTGCTGCCAGTTACTAACGGCTCGATAAGTGAATGAAGAGTGTCTTTATTCCCATCCACATACAATCTTGATATGTTGGTTTCCTTTAAGAGGTGGGAAAACTCCCCGGACCAGTTTCTTTCAGGAACAATAAGGATTGGATCAGATTTCCTTTCTAGCTACTAGAGACGTTTGTGTAATTGTGGTTAAGAAATAATTGTTGGCAAAGAGTGAGGAGAGGAGCATGCGGAAAACTCCCTTGAGGTTTGCAAAATGTTCACTCAGGGGGAAAGTGCTCGCTGTATTAATAATAATGAGTTCACCTATAATGTGCAGGGGAAACATAAAGACACAATAACATCCATGGTTGTGTTCATCTTGATAAAAAAAAAATCCTGGATCTGGCCCTCTGACTGCGAGCAAACGACTCTTTGTGGAAACATTGACACTAACAAGAGGCCTTATTCTGCTTTTTGGGGTTTTCCCTATCCTGTAGGGTGTTATATAGGTTTCTGTGCATGTAAAAGGTCTGCTAAGGCTACAATCCCATAGTTCCCTTTAGATGGAGTTTCTCTCCCACACACTTCCCCCCCCTGCCTTTGTTTACTACCATACCTTAATGACATCACTATGTAACACTCATGCTTCTATTAGCCAGTGCTCTAACACATTTCACATAATAAGCTAAGGGGCGGGACATCTCTAAGCGGTTGACCAATCACAACAGAGCCGGCCAGCTAACCAATCAGAGCAGACTGGGCTGCAGCACAGGCAGTATGAGAAAAATAAAGATATTTTTGAGCATTAAAGCATCGAAAGAAGTCACAGTAGAGACACAAAATACAGATATGGATCTGAAAATAAGCATATGTGCTCTACACTGTAGCTGTATAAATTACATTAAAATCTTTAAACCTTTGAACCTTTTTGAATCAAACTGTTCACCTTTTCCTTTACCTAGAAACTACTTTAGGAAACTTAAGTAAAGATTTAAAATAAACAAAACACGTACTTAAAGAAAATACTTCCTAAAAATATATATTAGTTACATTTAATTGTTTTAAGTATACATTTATTCGAATTTTTATAACAGTGGATTCCAAAAGTATTTACAACAAACAAAAGTAATACCTACACATAATGAAAGAGAAGAAGAGGAGAGAAAAAAGCATGTTGTGTTTGTATTGTTTCCACTCGGATGTCCCCCTATCGATTTGACAGAATGAAAACCTTTTGTCCTCAGATTTACCAGAGCTCCAAACCTCTCCGGATCGGTTACCTAGAAAGCGACGGCTACACACAACCCTCTCCAAGCATGGCCCGCAGCGTCAGAGAGGTCAAAGCTCTGTTAGAGGCAGCAGGGCACACGGTAAGACTTCTCCACTCAGACACACGGACACTATATGATCTACTGCCACATAACATATGTGATGTGAGCCCTATGTTTTTAATGCTGTTACCTTTTCCCCTGTCTGTTATTCGTGCCTGCAGTTGGTGCCCTACCGTCATCTGAATCTGGAGTACGTTCTAGCTGAACTGGGTGCAAAAGGTATTCTGGCAGACGGAGCCACCACTCTGCTCCAAAAACTGTGAGTTAGAATTACCTTGCAGATGGAAATTAGCTATAAAATATAATCTGGCATAATTCATATATTTTCTTTACTGAGATTAATGTAATGCATTAATTGTATTCATGGTCCTTGTTGAAATAACTTAACCTGTCTAACTATATACCAAAGAGCCAAGTTACAATTCCTATGAAACAGATAATGTTGTGTGCTAATGAACCCTTATATCTTCTGTTTCAGACAGGGCAGCCCTGTGGACCCTTCTCTCAAAGCACAGCTTGTACCGTACGTTCTTCCTATATGGTTGAAGAAAACCCTCTCATTTCTGCTCAAGCCCTTTGTGAGTTCTCACCCTCTGACAAACATGCATACAGGCTAACATTATATCCTCAAGGTTGTTGAGTATAAAATTGGTTTAAATATTTATTTGGTAGATATGTCCTTAAACAGTTATTTTTTTATTTGAACGGTTTTTATGTCTTGCTTTTGTTTTTCAGTCTACTCGGGCTTCCGTTATTCTAGGAGGTCTCTGTGGAGTTGGGTGAGAAAGTAACTTAGTTCGTCATCGGTTTGCACTTATGGTTTCGTTACATTGCATGTGACGGGCAAAATGCAAAAAACAAACGGATTGTTTTGTCTGCCTTGTTTTTAGATCCATTCCAGATCTGTGGAAGCAGCATGCTGCAGTTGAGGTACTGTTAGTTGTCGGCTAATAACGCTTTTGCATCTTGGAATGCAGAACATTAAGTTCTCATTGTTTTTGCTTAATTGTGTTCTCATTAGGACTACATTCAGGAGACGATAGCCGAGTGGAGGAAATGCAACATAGACGCTCTGCTGTGCCCTGTGACCGGACCGGCCTACAACCACCTCTACTGCGGCAAGCTCAACAGTACGGCACTCAAACTACTTCTATACATAAAGGGGACCTATCATGCAAAATGCACTTTGTGATGTCTTTTATACATGAATATGTGGCCCCGGTGCGTCAGGGAACTCACGCAGCGTCAGTATCCAAATCTCTAAAAACGGGGCTACAACGGATCCGATCCAGATTTCCATCCGCTGTGACGTCATGGACCCACAGAAAGTTGCTATCAGAAACAATGCCTGACGTGTTTTGGAAGTAATCTCGTCTTTGTTTACATTAGCAAGCCTCGCTAAAACTCAGAGCTAACCTGTACTGAAGAGCACATGTGTTTTAAAAAGCAGGAAATAAAAAAGGAACTTACCTTGTGATAAACCTGCGAGAGAAAAGGCATTTGAGCTCCATACTGTTTCAGAAATAATCCTTGACGTGGTTTAAACAGGATGGCGTTTTATCACAGCAGAATTTTACTTTATCTCCGGTTCCTCTTCTTTCTTTTTTTTAAAGCTAAGGACCCAAAATCCGTGTTTCTCTAACAGGGCTGCAAAAGAGGGGTTTGAGCAGTATGAGGCATGGCTACAATGAGTGATCTGTTTGGTATTTTGACACAGACATGTTTTATATAGGTATGGCCCTACAATATATTTTTTTAAATATAGCATGATAGGTCCACTTTAAGTCAAAAGTACCCATAACTAGCAGCTGTTTTAAAGAGTACTTGACCTCCCTT